AGTCCGTGGTGTTAGGTCATACATACATACCACATGTTTGACATATTTGGAGAGATTTGCCTGTCTAAACCTCGGAGTGACCAGGTGCTAGATAGGTTGTTTCGTGTTTAAATATTAGTATCAACCTGCACGGTTGTTAGGTTGTTAATAAGTAAGCTAATTTTGTGCTGTGGTCTCCAATTCCGGTTCCAAAAAATAAAACCTGGTTATCATTACAGCCCTTCACAAGTACAAGGAAATAAAACTTATTTAACGACATTAGCCTAAGGCAGAGCACGGACCGCGAACTCAAAAGGTCGTGGGTTCGAGTCCGCCATGCGATACTGTCGTAAACCACTCCTATCACAAGCATTTAAGCATACCATGAGTGGTTAAAGGAAATATTACTCGTACTAATGTTAATTGCATTGCTTAAAAAATAGCTACACCACCAAGCACGTAGGTACATAATGGTCCACAACACGCAGATGCTGCAGCGTGTTTCCATCCTTAACCTATTAAAATCTCTGAAACGAGAAGAGATCTGTTTCTTAAAGTTGGACGGTTATAGTCAGTATCTTGTAATTTTTATAACTATTTACGTAAGGATCATTTAAGATTATTATAATAATAAGTCTTTGATAAACTACTATTTACATTATTGTAAAACAACTGCTATTAGTTTGAATATAGTTACTAACACCGTCAAGAACGTAATGCAATTATAAATGATAACAATTTTGTCTAACAGCAATTGTCTCAATCTAGACTAATAGCACTGTTCGCGATGACCGGTAATGGAGTCATTTGCATGTCTTTGACCCCGGGTTGAACTTGGGTGAGATTCATTTGCAAGAAGTCACTCGCGTATGGCAAATATTGATTAAGCGATTCTATAAATCTTAGTTTATGAGAGGTAGTTAATTTCTAATATCACATGTTATTTTGTCAATTTGCGATATTGGTATTTATTGCTCATGTAAAATAGTTGTGGTAGATCATGTTAAAAATGCTGATGAAGATAACGATATCGGGCATTCTGCTGGATTTATAAATTACAATTTCATTTAATATGTTTTAATAATAATTTAAAAATCAGAAGGAGCTACCTAACGAAAGCAAATCGATGAATAGTTCAACAAGCGCACAGCGGTGACAAAAGGATTTTCTCAATAAGGTTGAAAAGGGCAATTGAATACAAAATAAGAGATCAACAGAGGATCGGAGGACCCGATCATGGAAAAAGAAATGTAATGGAAACGTTCTTTAAGTAACAAAGAGTGGAGGGATTAACATAATGCTGCATAAAACGAAGGGAATGTGAGAATTCCTGTGAATGCGAATCGGGATCCAGATTCGAAAACGTCATACCCGCTGACCAGCTGGTTGTCCGATGGTGGAAAGGAGAGGGAAGAATGAAAGCGTGTAATGCCTGCGCGCACTCACTGAAATGCATCCTATAGAATACTGAGAAGCTGGCTACTCTGCGCCTGTGCTCTAGACTGACAAGATTGGTTTCAACCAAATGCAAGTTACCAATGAGCCTCTTAGCACGTCTCTCCACTGAGTCCAACGCTGCTAGGTGGTATTTTGCAGCACCTGCTCAAATGTGACAGCTGTACTCCATGCACGACCGGACTTGCGCTTTGTGCCTGGTAAGAAGTTGCCCCGGCGTAAAGTACTGCGTCGTCCTTGAAAGGACATCTAGTTTCCTTGCGACTACTTTGGTCTTGGACTCAATGAACCGCCCATACTTGAGGTTCGGATAAAATTCAACCCGTAACAAGTGTAGACGGTTAGTGTACTCTAAGGATACATTCCGCAAAGTAGGAGCCAAGGTAAGAGGGCTCCTTTTAGCGGTGAAAAGACACGCTTGTGTTTTGGAGGCATTGCAACTCACGAGACTGATATCGTCACATATTTTGGCACAGAACATTGACGTACACAATAATATACTAAACTTTAGTAGTGTCACTTGTTTTAGACTAATCTTTAAGTGAGTAATGCATATAGATTTGTGGGCTAAATCCATCGTGCTCCTTTAATCGTTTAATACATTTTTTTTAATTATCTTTCGAGAAACAAAATTGATTGCTACCATAATCAAAGATTTGCATCTTCTAATATTAATCAGTGTTTATGTAACATTTAACCAAACAAGAAAACGGTATGAGTTTAACACAGTTTTAGGGTGAGCGAAAGTTTGTATCAAAGACTACAATATTACTAGGGATGGGCCGAATATGGATTTCACCGAATACGAATATTCGGCCGAACGTTCGGTAAAATTTTTACCGAACCGAATATTTGACCGAACATTATTCGGCAGGATTACCGAGGTACCTAATCAATTTATGTCGAAACTTGTTACCGTAAACCGCGCGGGATTACCGCCAGAGCCTTCCCCTTGCTCCCCCGCCACACCTGACATGTTATTGCATCATCTAGTACTGAGCAAATTGCCGGCAAATGCTTTAACTATTTTTGTGAGAAAAAAACAGTATTATTAGTGAAAATTGATAAATCTGTGATGAAAATAAGTGGCAGGAGATCTACTATTTGGACCAATTTTAGAGAAACTGACGACTGTAATGTAATGTTTCTTTATTTGACTCCAAACAAAATTTTATCAAGCTTTCTATTTACTATAATTGAAAATAAATCTACAGTGCCTGTAAAACATATCGTTATACAAATACAAGTAGATTTAACTCATAAATAAGTATACTTTCAACAGTAAAATCATGAACGACATGGCATTATTAAATTCGTACATTTCCATACAGTGGGTACTTTGAATACCACTTTAACGAATATTCGGTGGTTTAGCCGAATATTCGGCCGAATACGAATATTCAGTAAACCTGCCGAATATGCCGAATACCGAATATAAAACGAATATTCGGCCCATCTCTAAATATTACATAGGGAAGTTCGTATAAATATCGGTTGGTAAATTTATGATAGAACGTTCTGTAAACTTTACTTCTAGCTACGTAGTACTATTATGTATTCCGTAGTTTGTTCATTATTAGTTATATTGTAACGAAACTAAGTCAGCGTGAACGAAGTATAAACAAACTAACAGTGCTGGTTAAATCCAAAATTGAAATGTGAAATTATTAATAGATATACTTTCTTCACATTGTTTTGTTATCTTTGTAAATTATCGACTTAAAGTACTGCTATCGAAATTGGTAGATTTGAGACACAATTTTTGTCATCTATGAAATCTATGATAGAATGTCTTAGTCTATAAGTAGTTAAAATGACTGTCCTACATTATATGTATGTAAAAGTGATTCGACGACTCTTAGCAATGAATTGCAGTGATAATAACTAATAATGCATCTACATTTTCATTCTTAATCGAGGATCGATGTAGGTGTGTGAACCAAAGTATCCGCTTACCAGCAGGTGAACTGTGTTCCCGTTTCTCACTCTTATGCTATAAAAAGTAATTTACATAAATAAACTGTACATAGACAAACATCCAGACCCAGTAAATTTGTTTGTAGGCCATAGAAACACTTGTCGCGTACAGGATTCGAACCCATGATTGCACAAGCCATTGCACTACCGAGCCTACAGAACCATTATATTAAATTATTGCAAGCAGAAATAACACTGATTTAGGCTAATATTTCCAATATGGACCATCGATTTCAAAGCCCATATTTTTTTTGTAGATAGTACTCACTAAAAGAAAGCGTTTTGCAAAGTTTTAGGTTGCGGAGGTTCATGAGATATATTTTTTTAAACTTTTCATACCTACAAATTGGCTTATAATACGCAATTACAAAATAAATTTGAAAAATGATTGATGTCAAACGTCAATTAGTGTAGGGTTTCTGATTCAGTGGGGTGCTCTGATTCAGTTTTGGATACTAAATATGTAAGTAAACACTTTATTGTAGTAAGAATTAGATAATACAGAAAGTTGCAAACATTGAAATACAAGTACTAAGGTGGAACTAAAATAGAGTAAACTTTATTCTGTTTTATATACATATTTTATTGCACTTATCAGCTCTCTATATGCATTTAAATGGGTTGTCATAATTTTTCGTCTCCAAAATTAACGGAATGTAGTATTGATACTTTTGATGCGATACTTGGTATCGAGTAGGAATCGATACTTTCAAAATTTTCGGAATCCTACACTAATAGAAACATGAAGTAATTGACGTTTGACATCAATTATTCGTCTATTTAAATTTTTAGTGTTTGTTTTTCATTTTTTTATATATTGTGTGTAATTAATATTAATTGTAAATATTATAATAATATAATTTCATTAATCAGAAATAATGTTGGCCATTACTTGTCGAATTTATTTTGTAATTGCGTGTTATTTGCCAATTTGTATGAATAGTTAAAAAATATAAGTAAGTAAGTTTCCGCGACCTAAAACTTTGCAAAACGCTTTCTTTTAGTGAGTACTATCTAAAAAAAAATATGGGCTTTGAAATCGATGGTCCATATTGGAAATTTTAACCCTGATTTAAATTAATGAATAAAAAAATAACGAGTATTTTGATGTTTGTTTACTCTACATAGCAGTTCCAAGATAGGTGGAAGCTTAAAAGCACAGGGCGCGGAAGCTGAATGAGGTCGAAGTTTAATATAGCTGAGCGGGCAGACGCATGGCGGCAGCGCGGTGTTACCGCAAATCTTGACCCCATTGCCCTAGTGGTGACGATTTAGGACTGGGAAGTCATGTATTCGATTACTAAATTGTACCAGAAATAACAACTTTATGTTACATAATGCAATGGTGTAAAACATTTGTGAATATAAATATTATAAAACAGTGCATGGTTTCTGATTAAGTAGTTTTTTTTTAAAGGGCGTTTATGCGAGGAAAACCTATAGCGTGCTATGTTTTCTATGATGTAGTGTAATTTAATTAAAATAAAATAAGATTTTGTTTTTTAAACACATTTCAAGCTAAAACATGAACTTATAATACAACAAAATAGTTAAAAATAAAATTAATATGATATAAAATAAACAATTACCTGTATAATAGATCGAGTCTGGCGCGTAACATCGTCAGTAGAGCCCTGAATGGACCGAGGAGCTCTTATACAAGTTGGTATCATGGTGTCACTCATTTAAACACATAGTTTTTTCGAGTTTCTTTGTAAAAATCATTTTTATATTTCTATCGAAAAACACAAAACCATTAGATTTCTGAGCAATTCAAAAAAATCAAAAGAATACCAGCAGATTTTTACCATTCCCGACCAGTTCTCTTAATTTTCCCTTCATGCTAAGAAAACGCATTCAAAGAATGAACAAAACCACCCATGCGTGACCTACCGCGAACTTTTATTTTAAGGAAAATAAAATATAAACAGGTATATCGTGGCCGCCCATCGCAGCTCGCGCGTGAATGGACGTGTCCGTGTAGTGAGAGTCATCTGGGAATATTTACTCGTGCGCTTGGCGCCACCGCCCACGCTCGCATCCCGACGCGCTGCGACACACTGGGTCAAAAGCAAAAGCTTGTAAGCTACAACGCGATGTCAAAGGACCGACGACTGAATTATCCACGTATTACGAGAGCAAATCTTTGTAGTAACTTACGAAATGTTAAAATTAAAAAAAAGTTTTTAGGAATTAATTATACCTAAATACTTAAACTTCACATGAAAAACAACAATAAAATTATAAAGATATAATTGGATGTGAACTTATGGAAACAAAACGCTGTTCCTTGTAAATAATACTCTTTTTTTAATTAAACAATTAAGACTGTGATTTAAAATAACATTGGAAAACGGAAAACCTATGATTACCGGTTACAGAATATAAGTATGATTAATAAATGCCGTTAGATATTAATTAGTAACTTGCTATACAGTAAACTGGGTTCAATTAATAAAATAACAATAATAAATAGTAATGCAATAATAGATAAATCAAAAAATATTATTTCACATTTATAAGTGCAACGATATCGACAGGCGTTTATTGTACCTGTATAATTGCGTTGTAGTGTGGGCGCCAACAAAACGAATGCATTAACATGAAATAGTATGTGGGCATTGCTTGAACTTAAGACAATGAGTAGTAACTGATAAGTGGGACAGCATATATTAGGTTTCTCATTCTATATCTAGCTATTATGATGTGTCAAAAATGTATATTTTGTAAAAGAATACTGCGGTTAAGTGACAGGGTTTATAATTAAAATTTAACTACAATAGTTTGTATATCAATTTAATTATTATATTTTTGGAACACCACATTGAAATGGTATTGTGATTAGATGCACTAAATGTAGCCTTACAGTAGCTGCGTAAAGCAATCCATCACCTCGTATTATTTCTATTCATCCAAATATTTAATGAAAGGATAATGAAGAAAAAATGTATCACAAAACAAGCTCGTATAGTGAAAGAGGACAGAAGAATATTAAAAAGGAAAAAAGAACACATCCTGTTACTAGCAACTCTTTGAACTTCTCTGTCCAAATATAATAAACCAGGCCTCGTTGGCAAAGTGACAGAAACATACGACTGATAATTGAGTAATGGCTGAAAATGTTACCACTATAGTTGAAACAGTTTCGTATTACTCCAATCAGGACTTATGAGTTTAGGACGAAAGGAATGTAATTATATGGCTTTTGATATCTTTTTAATTTTAATTTAAACTCTTGATTTAGGCTTTCTAATGTTAACTAATCCTTAAGTTTTAATTTAACTAATTAAAAAGTAATAAAAAGAAAATTAAAAAGTTTGTTTGACAGTTAAGAATTTCGCACAATTTAGAATTCTTTATAAACGCCTAAGAATTTGGTATTTTTTTTTTCTTTAGCCTGTTATTCGTAATTTCTTATTTTACTCTTTGTCAATATCACACATGACTTTTTTTTATGTGTATTGACTAGGAGTTTGAAAGTGAGTTCAGACTGAATCCCACTCAAACTTATTTTTGTAATTAACCTGTAATATAATAATAGGTATTATAACAAATGATTTATATAAAATTTGTGGCGGCGCTGTCGTCGCGCCATAAGCGAAGCACATCGAAGCCTAAATCACCCTATCAAAGTTCCGAAGTAAAACAGTATACATATATAGTTTAGCTCCGAACTATCACTCCCCCTCTTTCCCCAAGGGGGGTTGCTTCCGATACGGCATAAGACCTTACCAGGTTAGTGTTGTAGGATCTTAGGTTTCACAGTGAGCCCCGCATAACCACGCAGCCGGCTGCGTGGTATGCTAAGAGCATTCACCTCCCTTCCCTGCTTCCCGAAGGGCAGCCCTTTACTTTGATTCTGGGCACAAAAAAAAACTATCACTCGGAGCCTTGGCCACTCTCCGGGTAGAACACCTTGTCCGGTGATCCCCCTTTTCCTTCCACGGCCACAAATTAGTTCTAATATTTTATAAAAACACGTCAATTACAAAACCGTGGTGTTGTGGCGGCGTAATAAATCCGTCACCCCATTTCGTTCTATAGTAGTCGTAAGAGGTGACTAAGAGGCTTTTGTTTATGTCAGGCGTAAAGTTCCCTGGTCAGCGATGGGCACTAGCGTCAAAAGAGCAAGACGTCTGGTAATGCATTCGTAAGTTTGTCTTCTAAACGTTACAATTAAGGCAATACGAGTACAAGGGGAGACGTCCAGGGGATTTTTATGGGCTGTTTATGGTGATAATGATGATGATTATTTTAAAAATTAATTGAATTTGGCTTTTAAAAGAGACTTTTATCACGAATGACTATGAATAGAGATAAGACTATTAAAAATATGTAATATTTTTTTACGACCTGGAAAGACATGCAGGAAGTCGATGGATGTAGGTAGCTCAAGACCGTGGCATTCCTTGGGGAAAACCTATGTTCAGCAATGGACTTGTTAAAGGATGTAATGATGATGATGTGATGTTTTATTTTATCGTCTATAGTTATTTTTTAACATCCCGAAGTCAAAATATGAATGACATTTACTGCCGGCCGTTTGCCGTTCAACTTTTAATTTAATATTGTTTATCAATTCCTTTTAACGATCGTAATAGAAAACATAAAACCAGTATTACACTAGCGTAGTATACGGACCGCTGCGCTGGATCCGCATCCGATCCGCACTGTTTATTTACCCGCCTGTCAAAAGTTCGACTTACGGTGCGTATATTTATTTATAACCACTAGGAAGGTGCGCCGCGGTGCAACGACCTTTTGTGACACAATCATAATGCACGAACATTTACAACGTGAAACAAAGCACCTCTTAAAACGGTTGTAGATTAACGCATTGATAGTGTAAACTACCGTAAAAGGTTTAATGTGGTAGTTAATACCTTCATTCTGAAGCGGATGTAAAGAAAAAAGTATTTAATCTCCAGCTGAATATTGATATAACAAACATAGGTGCTTGTTTTTAAATTCTTGATACCACGGTGTCAAGAATTTAAAAACTTTCACGTGGTAGAGCTATGCTGCAGCTTTATTAATTGAATAGTTGTAGCACGAATGGGTCGGCTCGACCGGGGAAGAACCACGCTCTCACAGAATACCAGCGTGAAATGGTAGCTTGATGCTGCTGTGTTTCGTATGGTGAGTGTAGAGAACCGGAGACCCTTTTTACTGGAAATGAGGTATTCCATCTTAGTCCTCACGGGTGACAACGCATCTGCATTTTGATTCGCAAACGAGGATAGATGTAGATGTCAATGGGCCACAGCAACCACTTACCATCAGGTGGACTATGTGCTCGCTTGTCACCTTTTTAATAAAAAAAAAACCACAAATAGTACTAACGTTGTAATCGTATTTCTTTATGGAACGAGGCTGACCAATGAGCACACAGTCCCCTTGATGGTAAATGGATGCTGTAGGTTATAGAGATCTACATCTACCCTCGATTAAGAATCAAAATGCAGATGAGTTGTTACACCTGAGGTCTACGTTTTACGTGGTAGAGCTACGCTGCAACTATTTAACGGATGTAGCACGAATGGGTCGGCTCGACCGGGGTAGGACCACGCCCTTACAGAATACCAGCGTAAAACAGCAGCTTCATGCTGTTAGCGCTCGCTGTAAATTTCATCAGACCGGGTTCGATCCACGCCGGCACCAATGAAATTGTTAATTGCAATTTTAAGTGATTTACCACGTGCTTGGCAATGAAGGAAAACATCGTGAGGAAACCTGCATGTCTGAGAAATAAAAAAATATTTCGTAGACATGTGAAGTTCGCCAACACGCATTGAGACAGCGCGGCGGACAATTCCTTGCCCAAGAGTGGGGCGTAGGCTATAACTTTTTATGTGTGTATGATTAAGTTGATCCGAGAATGGTTTAGAATCACAGTTGGTACGTGTAGGTGCCGCTGTTGTAGAGATCCAGAAATCAACCGTGTGAAGACGATAAATATATGTATATAATTTAGTTTTTCAGGTAGTTAATCTACACCATATTTTATTGATGATGATTAGATTTTTTTTTTCAAGATACCTAGATTACCAGTATACTTGTTAAAAGAAATTTACGAAATTTATAAAAAAGCCAACGGGCCTATGTTTTCAGCAATAATTTACGGTATAATAAATTTTACCATTAAATATAAATTCATTTAGAAACAATATAATAGCGACCACCTCATTCCCCGGGGTTATAATCAATCATGTACTCTTTAGTATAATTATAACCCTTATTAAACAATTTTTGCTTACCTAATTAAAATTTTAAACTTTTGATAGTTATTTATTCCTTTTAATTTTTTCTAAAGGAAATCGTTGGACCCAGGTTATAAATTTAATTTGTGACTCTTTTCTGCAAAAGATAAAAGTTAAAGTTATAGCATATATACGTCCCACTGCTGGGCATAGGCCTCCTCTCATTTCTGATAGCGTCTTAAGACAAGGAGGTGTCCGCCGCGTTGCCCCAATGCGTATGCGAACTTCACATGTCTTCGAAATATTTTTTTTCTTATCCCTCAGACATGCAAGTTTCCTCACGATGTTTTCCTTCACTGCCGAGCACGTTGTAAATCAGCACTTAAAATTGCATTGACAAATTCATTGGTGCCTGCGGAGATCGAACCCGGGTTGCTCGCGTACTGTGAAATTTACAACGAGCGCATCATTAG